GTCGACCCCTGGAAGGCCGGCTCCGGGCTCGGCTCGACGGTCGTGGAGCCCCTGGCCAGGTGAGGGGCCTCTGGGCTCGACGTCGGTGGGCGTAGCGCCAACCCTGCTTCATCTGCAGCCTGGCTGCCGGGGAGCCCATGCACAACGCATGGGCGCTGCTCGGACGCGCGTAGCCCGGGCCGGCGCTGCTCGGACGCGCGAGCGGATCGCCTCTGCCGCGCCGCAACGGAACAGTTTCGATGCGGTGCTGTCCTTGGCAGTGCGCTGTGATTGTGGGGCTCGGGCCTCGCTCCAAAATCTCGAGCCAGAAAAGTGTCCACGGGATCCGCCTTCCCCGATCTCCATGGTCGGTTTCCTGCGTTTCGTTGGTGGGACAACAGGCTCACGTGAACGTCCACTGTTCAAGGTGTCCGCGGGATTCAGCCTTCCCCGGCTTCCCCAAGTTTAGCTTCGTCTGTGACGCCATGCTGTTTCACGGAGTCTGCAGGGATTTGCACGCACCGCATCGGCGGGGCCTCCAGCTACAGAGGCTGGAGGCTGTATTGGGATCGCCGAGTCAGCAGCGCGGTGCTCCTTCTGCCCTCGAGTGAAAATATGTTTCTCCTCCTCCTCCTCCTGATCCTCCTCCTCCACCTCCTCTTCCCTTCCCTCCTCCTCCTTCGCCTCCTCCTCCTCCCTTCCCCTCCGTTCCGCCTGCTGCTCCTGCTGCTCCTCCGCGTCCTCCTGCTCCTCTTCTGCTTCCTCCTCCTCCTCGTTTCACGGATTGAGGGCGGCTCCTTTTCAAGATATGGCTCTCGTTTTCGCGCCGCGCACATTCATCTGAAGCAGTTCCCAGACTTTCACGAATTCCCCTGGTAGACGTACCAGAATGGTGCTCTGGAGCGAGTCAGGATTGCCAGGGCGCATTATTTACGTTGATTCGCAGTGTTGATAGATCAGAAATGGAGCTCAAGTTTTTATTATTCCACATAACGCGCGTTATGTGGCTGGGTGGGTGGGTGGGGTCGCTGGCACATAACATAACACAACCGCGCCCGGCCGCTCGAATGGCTGTATGCACACATTCTGATGCAGCAGCCTATGCGCGCACCACAACGCGCGTGTACACCACAGTGCATGGCGCATGGCAGTGATCACGTAAACCACAGAAACTGCGTATACGACTGTAAGCGCGCCATACCACAAAGTTTTTGTTCACACCCTTTGCTGCGCCCACAGCAGCACGTTCCGCGCGCACAACGCAGTCGCGCCTGGCCGCTCGAATGCCGATTGTGCTGGAAGGACTGCCCTTTGTTGCTATTGGTCATAACGCTCATGCAACGAAAGGGCCTAGCAGCTGCGAGTGCTACACAGCGCCGCAATGCCCACGAACACCACGCATGCTGATGCAGCAACCTACGCGTGCACAACATCGTCAGCGTACGTCGCAACGCACGGGTGCACAACAGCGCCTGTGTATACAGCTGTCAACGTGCACACCACCTGTAGTACGCCAGCGAAAAAATCGTTTGCGACCCGACAGCCACGACGCGCTTATGTCCAGCGCCACAATAGTTTGCGGTCCGATCAACGCGACGTGCCCGTAAACGGCACAATGCTTTTGACGAGCGCAGCTCGGGGAGCTGCGAACACCCCACACAGCCCTGGTCGAACACCACCCTTACCCACTAAAAAACAACTTAACTCCGAAAAAAAAAAGAAAAAAAAACCCAAAGAGCGCCTGTCAACGTAAGAGGTATGAAAATAAAGATACACAAACGTAATAAAAAAAGAGCATCAACATATAAACAACAAAACCAAAGATCAACCATCCATACATCACATACCTCAAACTGTAGTAACTGCTCGCCTGCGAACGCCACAGCGCCCGTGAATGCCGCATCGCCTGCGCACGCGACATAACCAGAAAACGCCACATCCCGTGTGAACGCCACAACGCCTGTGAACACAGCGCGCGCGAGCACCGCAGAGCCTGGGGTAGTAGTAGTAGTAGTAGTAGTAGTAGTAGTAGTAGTAGTAGTAGTAGTAGTAGTAGTAGTAGAAGTAGTAGTAATAGTAGTAGTAGTAGTAGTAGTAGTAGTAGTAGTAGTAGTAGTAGTAGTAGTAGTAATAGTAGTAGTAGTAGTAGTAGCAGTAGCAGCAGTAGTAGTAGTAGTAGTAGTAGTAGTAGAAGACCTAGTAGTAGTACTAGTAGCAGTAGTAGTAGCAGTAATTAGTAGTAGTCAGTAATAAAAGTAGTAGTCGTAGTCGGTAGTCGGAGTCGTAGTTCGTACGTCGTAAATAGTAGTAAGTAGTAGTAGTAAGTAGTAGTAGTAGTAGTAGTAAGTAGTTGAGTCCGTAGGCGTGGTAGTAGCAGCAGCAGCAAAGCAGCAGCAGTAGCAGTAGTAGTAAGTACTATATAAGTAGTAGTAGTAAGTACGTAGTAGTAGTGTATTAAGTAGTAGAGTCGTAGTAGTGTTAAGTAGTAGTAGTAGTAGTGTAGTAGTACCTCGTAAATTAGTAGTAAGTAGTATTCGCATCGTAGTAGTCGTAGTAGTCGTAGTAGTCGTAGTCGTCGTAAGCTCCGTAGTAGTAGTAGTAGTAGTAGTAGTATGTAGTAAGTAGTAGAAGTAGTAGTAAGTAGTAGTAGTAGTAGTATAGTGTAGTAGTAGTATAGTAGTAGTAGTCGTATTAGTCGTAGTAGTCGTCGTCGTCGTAGTAGTAGTAGTAGTAGTAGTAGTAGTAGTAGTAGTAGTAGTAGTAGTAGTAGTAGTAGTAGTCGTAGTAGTCGTAGTAGTAGTAGTAGTAGTAGTAGTAGTAGTAGTAGTAGTAGTAGTAGTAGGTCGTAGTAGTAGTAGTAGTAGTAGTAGTAGTAGTAGTAGTAGTAGTAGTAGTAGTAGTAGTAGTAGTAGTAGTAGTAGTAGTAGTAGTAGTAGGGAGGGAGGGAGGAAGGGGAGGAGGGAGGAGGGAGGGAGCGACGGGAGGAGAGGGAGGGCGAAAAGCAACACCAGGACAGATTGCGAAGCTCCCCACAGACGAAGGGGGCCCCCGAAGACCCGTCGAGCCACAACGGCTTGAGCCATGTAAACGCAACAACTCGGAGGTCCGCGCGGGGTTCTTGCGTCGGCGCTGGGCCGCTTAGCGGTACTTCCGGGGGAACGCGGTCCGGCGCCGTTCCAAGAAACCCGCGCGGACCTCCGAGCTGTTTCGTTTATGTCGTTTGGTTCTCTACGTAGGCACGCCCGTGCGGGCGACGCCTTCTTCTCCCGCCGCCGACGGGCGACGCCGTGCCTGGGCACACACACGCATATGAAAACAAATCTTATTTGTTTATCTTGGTTGTTGTCGGCCTCTGGCAGCCTCCTCGTCGTCACAGCTAGTGCCGCCTCGAAATTCAGGCCAGAACGCACGCCTGGATGTGCCCAGGGGCCCATTTGCGGAGAGCATGTCGATCGGGCGGCAAACGGATCGCTTTTCCCTCCGAGGGCTACGATGATCATCATGATTGCGGCGGCCCACCACAAAGCCCGTGTACACCACAAAGCCTGTGATCATCAGCATGTACATCGTTGTGCCTGCGTACACCACAAAGCCCGTGTACACCTCCAGGGCACGGCCCCATACCCCCGTTGCCTGCGCGGACAACAGTAATTATCTTTGCGTACGACAATGCTGGACACCACCGCGCCTGTGTGCACCACAATTGCCGCCGCAGCCGGCGTGTGCGATATGCACGCCGAACTGCTCGTTGTTTCCACTGCTGGGTGTGCCGCCGCGCCTGCGTGGGTGCCACATCAGCCTGCGCGCGCCACGCGCCTCTACATACCACAAGAACATGCCTGCGCACGCTGCAAACACGTTGCGCGCGCACTACGAACAGTATACCTGTGCGCTAAACAACACGCGCTGCTGCAACGGGGGTGGGTGGGGCGGCGGGCGTTATGTTATCTACTGGGTGGGTGGGTGGGTTGGAGGCCACATAACGCGCGCTATGTGTTCGAGTATAAAAACTTGAGCTCATGGTGTTCTGGCACGTTTGCAGCATCATCAAGACTCAACAGACAGGTTGATTCGTGGCGTTGGAGTCCCGAGAACAGTGTTCTTGCACGCTTCAGGATCTTGAAACGGTTGTCTCCCAACGAGGCATTTCCCTCAATGGAGATGAACCCTTGCAGGGGCCTATGAAGAGGGAGCTCGGAGGGAAGGCTTCTTCCAACATCGTTGGTGAGTCTTGGTGCTACACTCCTCCTCCTCCTCCTCCTCCTCCTCCTCCTCCTCCGCTTCCTCCGCCTCCTCCTCCTTCCCCTCCTTCGCATCCCCCTGTTCTTTCTGTTGCCATCTCGGCCCGAACCCGTATAGCTGGGGCCGTTCCCCCCCCCTCCCTCACCCTGACCTTCTCCGCGCCTTTCGCCGCCCGGTAGGCGACCGCGACGCCCAGCAGCAGCAGCAGCAGCAGCAGCAGCAGCAGCAGCAGCAGCAGCAGCAGCAGCAGCAGCAGCCCCCCTTCGAGAAAGAAGAAACGGCATAAGCAGAAACTTTTGAATCTCCGCGCGGATTTCTTGGGTCTGAGCTGGACCCTCCTCCCTAGCGCGCGGAGCGCGCCAGGGGCGGCGCCAGAGGCGCCGCCAGGGGGGTCCAACGCGGATCCAAGAAATCCGCGCGGAGTGCCAAATGCTTATGTTTATGCCGTTGTTTTTTCTTCGACCCCTCCCTCCTCAGCTGCCGGGCGCCCTGCTCGCATGGCACGAGCCCACAGGTAGGCGACCACATGTGAACCCTACCCTCACCCCCCCGATGTCTAATGGAGGGTGGGGGTTCACGTCGCTCGGGAGCTCCCGAACGAATGGAATCCCCCCCCGCCCTTATAAATCGTGGGGGGTACCGGTAGGGTTCACATGTGGTCGCCGAACAAGGCCAGACACCCGGAGCAGCAGCAGCCAGCAGCGGCCAGCAGCGGCCAGCGGCCAGCAGCGCGGCGCGGCGAGGCGTGCGGCCGCCGCCCCCTGGGCGGGCGGGGGCACGCGACGAGGAAGTGCCCGAACGCGTTGCAGAGCTCCTGCGCGCGCACGCGGCGCCCTCCCGCGCCCTGGTCGACAAGCGTGCGCAGGACCTCAGACGAAGCCAGGACGAGGACAACATCGTGCGCGGATAGGAGTTGCTGGCATCTGGAATGATGTTGGACACCGTCTCTGTTCTCCATCGATCGCCATCCACGAAGCTGTGCGGCAAGCGTGGCGTGCTCGCAGCGAATCCCACCAGATTTGCTGCGCATGTGTAAGACGAAGCCAGGATGATATGAACATCGGGTGACAATGTATCCATCTATATATATATGTACCGATATATATATATATATATATAATATATATATATATATTGTGCACATACGCACATACATACATACATACATACATACATACATACATACATACATACATATGTTATGAATATATATATATATATATATATATATATAATATATATATACACAGTATGTATGTATGTCGGTTTGGCTGTCTGTATATTTCTGTCTGTCGGTCTGTCCGTCCGTCTGTCGGTTTGTCTGTCTGTATGTATATATATATATATATATGTGTATATGTATATAACTGTATATATGTGTGTGTGAATGTATGTATGTACGTATGCATGTATGCAACTATGTATGTGTATGTGTGTATGTATGTATATATGTATGTACGTGCGTGCGCACGTACGTATGTCGAGAGTTGCCGCAACGCTTGCGGAACAAAAAACACACAACACAAACACACAACGAAAATACACAACGCGGCACGACGTATAACACAACGTAAATACACGACGTGGAAACACAATGTAAATACACAGCATAAATACGAAACGTAATAAGAGTACGCATTGGCGCCGTGTGTATTGCGCTGCGTGTATGCGCGGGTGTTGTGTGTGTGTGTGTTGCGTAATGCTGTGTATGTACGCTGTGCGTATGCGTGGTGTTGCGTAGCGCTGCGTAATCAAGCGTCGTGCTGTGTATTCACGCTGTGCGTATGCGCGGGTGTTGCGCGCGGGTAGCGTAGCGCTGTGTACTGATGTTGTGTATTTACGCTGTGTATGCACGATGTGCTTTCTATTGTGTATTTATGATGTGTATTTACGCTGTGTATTTACACTATGTATTTACGCTGTGTATACGCGTGGTGTCGCGTATGTACGTTGAGCGTGCGCGTGGTACTGCGTAGTGCTGCGTATTTAAGCGTTGTCCTGTGTATTCACGCTGTGTGTATGCGCGGGTCTTGTGTGTGGGTTGCGTAACGCTGCGTATTTACGTTGTGTATTTACGCTGTGTACGTATGCTGCGTATCTACACTGTGCGCACTGTTACTCTGAGATGTCGTCGTCGTCCCTACTCGGTCGCCCTCCAAGGGTGATGGGCCCCTTCCCTCAGAAATCGCACCCCCGGACCCATCCTGGGGCGGGTTCACGCCGAGCTTCGAACCTCGAACCTCGACGATCGAGGCTCGAAGCCGTTTGGCCTTCGGGGGTCCTCCACCGTCGCCGCGGCCGGACGCAACCCGACAAACTGGTGCGCTCGGACCCCGGGAGGGGTCCGGGGACCCGTTGTGAGCGGATCTTTTTTTACAGAGAAAAGCCATTTCCCCCACCCTTACTGACTTCAGCACCGACCACGCTCTCCTACAAGCTCGGTGCCGTCTCGCCTGCATTCGGAGACGGGCTTCAAATTGTTGTGGCGGAGTGCCACGCAAACCACATCTGACCGAGGTGTGCATGCTGAGAAACGCATCACAAAGCATCGAACTTACAAGGCACCGATCAGGGCCCATCCCACGAAAAAGGAGGTAAGAGGGAAGCCAGGGCGAGCCCACAGGAGACCCAGAGGAAGCAGGAGCCCAGGGGCCCATCCACTGAGAGAATTACTAACTGTCTGAGCCTGGGGCAAACAAGATAGTGAATCATGTCGCCTGTCGTCGAAGTCGCAATAGGGGTTCGAAAGACACGGGCATCCAATAATACAGCCTCTGGGAGCAGCATGGAATCTAGCACTAGTGCAAACGCGCCTGGAGAGCACGCGAAAAATAGCCAGGGGGAGATGCATACTGGAACGTCTCGTCAGAGTCTTGACCAGGGAACAGACGCGACCAATGTCACGGATGGTAACCTCAGGGGTCCATGCCCGAGCCCGACGAAGGAGAGTTTCATGGGGGGGGGGGGGGGGCGGCGGCCACGTGATATATCTCCAGCACCTTCATATACTGCATCTGTGCACCCTTTCGCCCATGCAGGATGCCAAAACCACGGGGCCCGACGAAGTCCTGAAACTTGAACAGGCGGGCGAGGGGGCCATCGACATACCGGCCACAATTCTGTCTGCACGGGCACCAGCCGCCATCGTCAAAAACTTTAAAAACTGGATCACGAATGCGAGGCAGCTCATCACATCTGGCAATATATCTGGCACGGGTCGCGCCCGCAATCAGGGGCAGACGAGGGGCTCAACTGGGAAGCCGCGCGCGCAGAGGTTAGCGCGCATATCGTACGAGAGAGCATTGCTCGGACCAGCAGTCAATAAACGTACGCACGATTGATGTACTTCGTCGAGTTCACGAGTGGGTCGGCGCAGCTGGAGGGCAAACTATAGCAGTGACGCACGCGATGTTTTGAACAGAGCGATGGATTGAGCGAGCCCGAGTCCAAGATCACGAATCTCCCGAATACGTTTCTTTAGTTTAGCCTCGCTCTCACGAAGGGCAACCCCTTCAGCCCCAAGGCCGATCCATATCCCAAGGTACTTCAGGCAACAGGCGATTTCGATGAGGTGGAACGGGGGCCCGAGGCCACTCCGGAAGTCCTGAAGGGGTTCTTTTACCAGAGCATATACCAGCACAATCTGACACTTCGGGAAGTTGAGCGCAAGCCCGATCGAACTATTGAGCATTCTCAGATACCCGGAGAGCAGCTCCAAGCCATCAAATAGACATCGAAGGCCAAAACAGAAGTCGTCAGCGCAGGCGCGCGCCAGCATGAGCTGAGACGGAAGCCACGACTTCAGTCAAGAAAGAATAGGCTCGACCGCCAGAATAAAAAGGAGCATCGAGCTCGGATCGCCTTGTCGAACACCTCCACCAATCTCGAATGACCCGAACATTCTTCCAAACATATATATATATATATATCACAGCAAAGTTATCATGGTGGAGGGCCTGGAAGAACATGGCAAAGACAATCGGAACACCCATCGCAAAGCACCCTCAGGGCCCAGGAGATCTTGATGGAGGGGAAGGCGGATTCAAAAGTCTGTCAGGACAATACCACCTGAGTAACGATCGCGAAGGTGTTGCTCCAAGAGGAAGCTCTCCGCCCCCATGACATTCAGTAGCATATCACGACCGCGGAAACACTTCTGAGGTGGCTGGGGCAGGCCGCGCCGCGCAACTTCCTTAGTGAGGAGAGTAACTATTGAGGCCGGCACTAATTTAGCATCTATGTTCGTCATACTAAGCGGGCGGGTAGTGGCAGGCTCTCTGTAAACCCCTTGGCCCACGTCTTGTTCACTAATCTTCTTGGGGAAGGAAACCATGAGACTACGCTTCGTATCATCAAGAATGCCCGCGCGCGGATTCTGAAAGAAGGACCCCGCGGCGCACAGGATGTATTCAGACCCTCCAGGACCGAGCGCCAGACTGTCGCCTGCTGGAAGCGCCGCGGCCTTGGGATCTGGCGACATCCCAGGGTCGGACTTCGCCCTGAGTCGCTCAGGACGCTTCGCCTGCAATAGACCGAGAGACACCCCGTGCACCGCCGCGCCAGTCTGCGCATCCATGAGCCCACTGTTCATGCGGTAGAACATCGTTGGCCTCGGTATGTGGGCGCGGTTAAGCTTGAATGGCGACGTCGGGTTCGAGGACTGGGGGGCAGCCACATGTTTCGACCCTCTCTGGCCGGTGACGAAACATGTGGCTGCCCCCCAATCCCCGAGACCGGCGTCGCTATTGGGGCTCGTCTCCGCTCATCCGATGCCCGACGGGGCCCGCAAAAACTGCCCGAGAGGGCCTGGGCAGCCTCTTTGTCGTCACCCTCGCACTCCCCCCCCTCGCCCCCCTCCTCCTCCTACTCCTCCTCCTCGTACTACTCCTCCTCCTGCCCCCCCTCCCGTGTCATCGTCCTCGTCCTCCTCCTCCGCCTCCTCCTCCTCCTCCTCCAAGCGCATCATGCGCTAACGTCGGTGCGGGCGTCTCAGCGCCCGCATCATCAGATGCGCCCCTCTCGTTTCCTCCTCCTCACCCTCGCCCTCCTCCCCCCCCCCCTCCTCCTCTTCCTCTTCCCCCCCCTCCTCCTCCTCATCCTCCTCCTCCTCTTCCTCCTCCTCCTCCTCTGCCCCGCCACAAAGAATTAACGCGCGCGATCTCAATCGGAGCAACAACGCGCGTCCGACCGATTGCCGGTCGTGTCGCCGCGAAGAAATCTGCGGCCTTGGCCGCGATTTCCCGTCGCACCACTCGAGCACCTCCCCGTGCAATCGCATGGCCTCGGAGGGGCCGGTCGGGGGGCGCAGCGCGACTAGGGTCTTCTGGTGCCGCGCGGCTGGGGGCCACTTCAACGTGTGCGCCACGAAGGCGGTGACCAGCGAGGCGACCGACAGCGGGGCCCCGGGCTGACAGCCCACGTCTCGGCAGACCTCGACGGGGGGCGACACAGCACCCACGCTCCCGCGGGCCAGCCCCAAAGGCTGAGGAGGAGGGGGGGGAGGAGGAGGAGGAGGAGGAGGAGGAGGAGGAGGAGGAGGAGGAGGGCCAAGCGGGGGCGAGGGCGCGCCCCCCCCCCTAACCTCCAGCAGCGCCGTCAAGTCCTCAGGGGTGACGTGCTCCCAGAGGAAGTTCATGCGCGCGACTGCCTTGAGCACGTCGGACCAATCCTCGGGGTACTTGGAGAGGCCGGTTGGCGTCACGTACTGACTCGGTTTCGGGGTGGCGAACTCGCGATGGGCGTAGCACCAGCGGCCGCCGCAGAGATCTCGCCGCGGCCTCCCGCGCCCGTCAATCTCGCACGCGCGCAGCCTGCAATACGGCTCCGCAGGCGCGCACTGGGCGGCGCAGATGGCCTGGGGGGGGCGCCGGGCCAAACCTTCGGCCATGCGAATTCTATTGGACGCCCCAATGGCAAGTGTTTCGGCGGGCCCTTCACGCGCTTCGTGGCTCCACTCCTGCGAACCCGGCGGGGGGGCTAAGATCTTCCCAGGAGCCGTGTGTCGCACTGGCGGGGGTCTGAGATATCCCCTAGAAGCTACAGAGAAACCCGCGGGGGCCCAATGTAAACCTGCGCGGGGCTGACCCGAGCGGGGCCTCAGATTAACGCACGTGGGGGTCTGAAAGGAACCTAGAAGTAAGGCTCGCGGCCTGCGGGGGGTCTGCGGGCGCCCTTAGATGAACCCGCGGGGCGCCCTAGATAAACCCGCGGGGGCTTAAGATAAACCCGCGGGGGGGCCCTCGATGGGCCCGCAGGGGGGCCTTAGATAAACCCGCGGGGGGGGGGGGGGGGGCTGAGATAAACCCACGGGGGGCCTTAGATAAACCCCGGGGGGCCTTGCATAAACCCGCGGGGGGCCTCAGATAAACCCGCGGGGGCCCTTAGATAAACCCGCGGGGGCCTTAGATGAACCCACGGGGGGCCCTAGGTAAACCCACGGGGGCCTTAGATAAACCCGCGGGGGCCTTAGATAAACCAGCGGGGGGCCCTAGATAAACCCGCGGTGGGGCCTTAGATAAACCGGCGGGGGCCTCGGGTAAACCAACGGGGGGCCTTAGATAAACCCGCGGGGGGCCTCGGATAAACCTGCGGGGGCCCAAGATAAACCCGCGAGGGGGCTTAGATAAACCCGCGGGGGGGGGTGAGATAAACCGCGGGGGGACTTAGATAGACCCGCGGGGGGGCCTTAGATAAACCCACGGGGTGCCTTAGATAAACCCGCAGGGGGGCCGTAGATAAACCAGCGGGGGGCTAAGATAAACCCACGGGGGGCCTTAGATAAACCCGCGGGGGCCTTAGATAAACCCGCGGGGGGCCTTAGATAAACCCGCGGGGGCCTTAGATAAACCCGCGGGGGCCTTGGATAAACCCCCGGGGGGCCTCTGATAAACCCGCGGGGGCCAAAGATAAACCCGCGGGGGGGCTTAGATAAACCCGCGGGGGCTTGTCATAAACCAGCCGGGTGCCTCCAATAAACGAGTGGAGGGCCAAGAAGAACTCAGAGGGGGCCTCGGATGGTTTAAGACTCCCCTTGGGTATTCGGCCCAGCGCGCGGGCCACGCAGAATGCTGAATGGACTCCAAACGACCCCAACGTATGCAAACAAAACCATCCAAGACGGCTCAAGATGGCCTCCAAGAGGGCATGACGGCCTCCAAGTTCGCCTAAGAACATCCAAGGTTGCTTCCAAGACGGCCCAAACATGTCCTGTATAACCTCGAGTCCGCCCAAGAAGCCTTCAAGACCTTCCAAGACGGCGCAGGCGGCCCCCAAGAGGCCTCCCAGACGGCACAAGAGGCTTCCACAAAGTCTTTCAGGAGAGCCCGAAGAGGCGAAAACCTTTGCGTTTTACCTGTTTTAAATGATATTGGCGCTCCTTTTTCCTTGCCCTCCGACGGCCCAAGACGCCCCCCGGATCGCCCCAGGATGGCCCCAATGGTATCCAAGATGGCCGCACGACGGCCCCAGAAACCCCCAAGACGGCCTCAGAGAAACGCCAAAGTTCGCCCAATATTGTCTGCATGGCCTCCAAGACGGCCCAAGAGGATGCAACGTGGCCTCCAAGACGGGCCAAGAGGGTCCACGATGCCTCCAAGTCCGCCCAAGAAGCCTCCAAGATGGCCCAAGACGGCCCAAAAGGCCCCCAAGAGGCGTCCAAGACAGCTCAAGAAGCTTCCAAGAAGTCCTCCACAAGGGCCCGAAGGGGCAAACGCCATAGATCGCCTCCAAAGTTTTTGTGAGTGGTTGGCGCTTGCTTCTTTTCGGTCTTCCGACGGCCCAAGAAGCCCCCAATATCGCCCCAAGATGGCCCCAAACGCCTCCAATATGACCCCATGACGGCCCAAGAAGCCTCCAATGCGGTCCCAAGAGGGCCCCGAAGTCGCCAAAGATGGTCCAGTCTGCACTCTAAGTTCGCCCAATAAAATCCAAGACGGCTTCCAAGACGGCCCGAACGTGTCCAGTGTACTCCCGAGCCCGCCCAGGAAGCCTCCAAGACGACCCAAGAGGCCCCAGGGTGCCTCCAAGACGGCCCGAGAAGCGCCCACGAAGTCCTCCAGGGGGGGCCGGGGAGGCCACAATCATTGATTCAATGTTCGGAGAGGTTTGCGGCGTCCCCTGACCGCCTGCGTGGATCCCAAATTGACGCAGGCGTTCAGGTTCTTGCGGTGAAGCTTATCTCCGCAAAGGCCCTTGCGCTGGCAGCGCTGCGCATCGGCGCCGCCGCCGCCCTCGAAGAGCAGGGGGGCAATAATGCGAGGTAGAAGGAGGGGCAGGAGGAGGAGGAGAAGGAGGAGGAGGAGGAGGAGGAAACTGAGGAGGAGGAGGAGGAAGAGGTGGAGGAGGAGGAGGAGGGGGGGGTGGAGGAGGAGGAGGAGGAGGAGGAGGAGGAGGGGGAGGAGGAGGAGGAGAGGAGGAGAGGAGGAGGAGGAGGAGGAGAGAGAGAGGAGGAGAGGAGGAGGAGGAGGAGAGAGGAAAAGGGAGAGGGAGAGGAGGAAGAGGAGGAGGAGGAGGAGGAGGAGGATCCTCTTGCTCTCGGCCACCGCTGCTCCGCGGCGAGCCCGCCTCCTGCTCGGCGGGTTCCTGCTTCGCCGGCTGGAGCTGGCGCAGGAGAGCGAACTTGCGATCGATCTCAGCCGCGCGCGCGGCGCCCACTGCGGCGTCCACCGAGGGCGCGGCCGCGGGGCCCAGCGCGCGGCTCCCGCGCAGGGGGCCCTGCGGCAGGCCTGCGCTGCTGCGCGGCGCGGGAGCCTCGGCAGCCGCAGCTGCGGCGGAAGCGGCCAGTTCTGTGTTGCCCTGGCAGCTGTTCTGCACGGCAGCCTGAGGGGCGCCGCGGGCGCTGTTCGAGAGCGCAGCCTCCGAGGCCGGCCCAGGCGGCGCGCCTGTGGCGGCGGGCGGCGGCGCGCCTGTGGCGGCGGGCGCCTCTGCGGGAAGCTTCCAACCCGGCCCAAGAGGCCGCCCTGGCGCGGGTCCGAGCCATACGGCGAACCCGTCTGGCACCCAGACGGGGTCGGTATGCCAGCGCCCGCCTGGGGGCATGCCGCCGGGCAGCGCCATGGCGGCCTGCGCCCGCGAGGCCCTGCGGCTGGGGGCCGGGTGGCCGGGGGCCGAGCGGCCGGCGGCAAGCGGCCGGCGGTCAGCGACCGGCCGTCTGGAGGCCGGCGGCGTCAGGCCGGACGGCCAGCGGCCCGCTGGCGGCCCGGCGGCCGGCGGCCGGTGACCGGCGGCCGGGCGGCCGGTGGCCCGGGCGGCGAGCGCCCCATGGGAGCTGTGAGAGCACTTGGAGCCGTCTTGTGGCCCTCTCGGGGCATCTTGGAGGCATGTCGGAAGCTATCTTGCACCATCTTCGGCTATATTTGGCCATCTTAGAGACCATCTTGGAGCACTGGAGGCTCTCTTGGGGCCATCTTGGGCCATCTCGGGCGCTCCAACTCGCCGCGACCCCCTCCGTCCAGGTCCAGGGGAGGGGGTAGGGGGAGGGGCAAACCGCTCCCCCGAGCAGGGGAAGAAGGGGTTGTCTTGATTGCCTTGACAGAGGAAAGAGTGACATCGCTAGACCACCTGTCGCCCAGAGGGCTGGTGGGATTTTCTCGATGATTTTGGCTCCTCGGGGGCCCCGGGGCCCTCCCCGAAAGGGGAATTTGGGGGTTGGAAGAACGAAATCGCTTCACCACCTCGTGGTGTCATGTATTTGCGTTGCGTATATGCGTGGTGTTGTGTACTTACGCTGCCTGTATGCGTCGTGTTGTGTGCTTACGCTGTGTATATGCGTTGTATTTACGATGCGTGTATGCGTGGTGTTGTGTATTTACGTTGTGTATATGCGTGGTGTTGTGTATTCACGTTGTATATATGCGTGGTGTTGTGTATTTACGCTGTGTATACGCGTGGCGTTGCATAGTTACGTGTGTTTATGCGTGGTGTTGTGTGATTACGTTGTGTATATGCGTGGTGTTTGTGTTTACGTTGCGTATATGCGTGGTGTTGTGTGCTTACGTTGTATATATGTGCGGTGCTGTGTATTTACGTCGTGTATACGCGTGGTGTCGTGGATTTGCGTTGCGTACATGCGTGGTGTTGTGTATTAACGTTGCGTGTGTGCGTGGTTTTGTGTATTTACGTTGTGTATATGCGTGGTGTTGTGCATTCACGTTGTGCACATGCGTGGCGCTGTGAATTTACGCCGTGTATACGCGTGGTGTTGTAAACTTACTCTGTTTATACGCGTGTTGTATCTTTGCGTTGCGTATATACGTGGTGTTGTGTATGTACGTTGCGTATATGCGTGGTGTTGTCTGTTTGCGTTGCGTATACGCGTGGTGTTGTGTACTTGCGTTGCGTGTATTTGCGTTGCGTGTATGTTACGTATACGCGTGATGTCGTGTATTTGCGTTGCGTGTGTGTTGCGTTGCGTGTATGTTACGTATACGCGTGGTGTCGTGTATTTGCTTTGTGTGTATGTTGCCTACACGCGTGGTGTCGTGTATTTGCGTTGCGTGTATGTTGAATATACGCGTGATGTCGTGTATTTGCGTTGCGTGTATGTTGCGTATTTGCTGTGCGTGTATGTTGCGTATACGCGTGGTGTCGTGTATTTGCGTTGCGTGTATGTTGCGTATATGCGTGGTGTCGTGTATTTGCGTTGCGTGTATGTTGTGTATACGCGTGGTGCCATGTATTTGCGTTGCGTGTATGTTGCGTATTTACGTGGTGTCGTGTATTTGCGTTGCGTATATGCGTGGTGTCGTGTATTTGCGTTACGTATATGCGTGGTGCCGTGTATTTGCGTTGCGTGTATGCGTGGTGTCGTGTATGTGCGTTGCGTATATGCGTGGTGTCGTGTACTTGCGTTGCGTATACGCGTGGTGTCGCGTATTTGCGTATATGCGTGGTGTCGTGTATTTGCGTTGCGTATATGCGTGATGTCGTGTATTTGCGTTGCGTATATGCGTGGTGTCGTGTATTTGCGTTGCGTATATGCGTGGTGTCGTGTATTTGCGTTGCGTATATGCGTGGTGTCGTGTATTTGCGTTGCGTATACGCGTGGTGTTGTGTATTTACGGTGTGTATGAAGGCTGTGTATTACGTATACGCACGTTGTATAATTACGGTGTATTAGCGCTGTGCTTTAGACATGGTTAAAATGTTGTTTTGATTGGTTTGTGAAAGCCATTTATGTATGTATGCATGCACTTATGTATGGATGCATGCATGTATGTATGCATGTATGTATGCGTACTATGTATGCATGTGTATGTATGTGTATGTATGTGTATGTATGTATGCATGTATGTATGCCTGTCTGTCTGAGTATCTGTCTGTCTGTCTGTCTGTCTCGGTCTGTCTGTCTCTGTCTGTCTGTCTGTATGCATATATGTATGTATGTATGTACGTTTGTATGTATGCATGTATGTTTGTTTGTATGTATGTATATCTGTGTATCTGTATAAACACATGTCGAACATCGCTGAGATCTGGCGTCTCTCTGGAGGATGTGTGTCAGTCACTGCGGCCTTCACCCAGAGCATTCCGGAACGCTCTGGAACGATGCGATCCTCTAGAAGAACCAGATGAAGAAGAACATGAAAAAGAAAAAACATAAGGATCATTATCATGAGAAGAAGAAGAAACGCCGCAAACATACACTTTTGGCGATCCGCGCGGATTTCTTGGATCTGCGCTGGACCCCCCTCACCGGCGCGCGGAGCGCGCCAGCGCATGACCACCTGTGGGCGCAGATGGCCTGGCCGAGCGGGGAGCAGAGCGACTGACGGCAGAGAGACGGAGAGAGAGAGAGAGACTGGAGAGAGAGAGAGAGAGAGAAAGAGAGAGAGAGAGAGCGACTGGAAAGAGAGAGAGAGAGACTGGAAAAAGAGAGAGAGATAGAAAGAGAGATAAAGAGAGAGACTGGAAAGAGAGAGAGAGAGAGACTGGGAAGAGAGAGAGAGAGAGCACGGGAGGAGCGGCAAGCTCCATGATCCACACCGCTCCGTACAAGTAGTACCTACGCCGGAGCAGCCGAGAGAGCTCTGGCGGCTGAGGGGGGCGGAGACAGGGACGGAGGCCGCCGAGGACAAGAGAGAGAGAGAGGAGGAGAGGCAGAGAGCGATGAGGGGCAGCTGCAGAGGGAAGAGGAGGGGACGAGATGGATCAGAAGCAAGAGGAGGGTGAGGAGGGCAAACAACATACACTGAGTACTGCACGGGCAAGAGGTACATAGAAAAGACATGATAGCGGGCGGGATCTGGAGGACTCTCCTCTGAGAGACCCGACCCAACAGGGGGTGGAGGGAGGGAGAAAGGGAGGAAGGAGTTTTGGAGGGAGGAGGAGAATAGGAAGGAAAGGGAAGGGGGAGAAGGCAGAGGGGAAGGAGGGGGGAGGCGGAGGAGGGAGGGCGTCGGGGAAACGAAGAACATAAGGAGAAGGGAAGGAGGAAGAGTGGCGAAGAATAGGGGGAGGAAGGAAGGAGGGAGAGAGGAAGCGGGGAGGGAACAAGCAAGGAGCAGCAAGGAGGGAATGTGGGTGGACGAAAGGAGAAGTGAGGGATTGGCGACAGCCAGCTCCATGAGACGGGAGAAGGGGGCAGCAAATCAGGCTCACACAGCCGCCCCCCCCCCAAGAAAACCAACAAGTACCGATCCCGCTACTGCCCGGACCTCTCCCGGGGTGCGTTCTGACCAGGATTTCGAGGTGAATCCAGCGGAGGCGACGAGGGCCTCCCAGGAGGCCGAAAAAGCGTAAAACGAGGCAAGGGTAGCGGCATGGGTTATGGGTACCACTTTCCTCCTCCGGCAACCCACCACTCGACCCCGAAGCCAACGCAAGACGCCCGCCATGGGCCACGCCGGGAAGCGAGGGGGGGCCCTCCCGAGGACGGGGTCCAAGGGGGCGGCCGCCTGGGAGCCCTGGGGCCAAGCAGCGTCCTCCCCCCGTCGTGCTGCGACTCCCGCCGGCCCGAGGCATGCTTCAAGCACGGAGGGGTCGCACCCTATCCACGGCACCATGTTCCAGTCGTAGTGGAACCTCGCCCGGGGGAGCTCCTCCTCCTCCTCCTCCTCCTCCTCCTCCTCCTCCTCCTGGTCCTCCTCCCCCTCCTCCTCCTGGTCCTCCTCCCCCTCCTCCTCCTCCTTCTCCTTTCCATGCCCCTCCTCCTCCTCCTCCTCCTTTCCATGCTCCTCTTCCTCCTCCTCCTCCTCCTCCTCCTCCCAAGATGGCTCCAGGAGGCCTCTGCGGAGCTCGCAAGATAATTCGCCTGAGCATCGGTTCTGGATGATCTGGTGGGGACACGCGACGCGTCAAGAAAACACAACTCACTCGCTGAACGACATCGCGCTGGCCTGCCACGTGCGACCAGAGCCTTGCCATGCGGAATTTTGTAACAGGAGCGAGGCCATCTTTCCACTCCAATAGCGATTTCGTGCAAGAAGAACACCCAGACAAACGGAAAGACCCAAAAAAGCCTGAGACCCGTCCGAAATCACAATCGGTCGTTGTTGCAACATCTTGGTTGCAGGATGAGTCGATGATTACAGGAGGACTTCATTGGGCAGGACACGCGAGAGGACACAAGACCCTTCCGAGGGTCACACTGCGAATGCAGGAGGCACGGGTCGCGAGACACAGGACACAAAGGTACCCTTGATTTGGCAGGGTCGACCTACTAATCTGGGCCGACTGTATGATATGTTCTGTTCGATACAAGTCGCATGCGGCTCGCACAACTCGAACCGCCACTGTTCAGGAGAAGGGTCAACAAGTCAGGACTGAACTCTGCTGCTAGGGCTTGGGCTCCCACTGTTACGGTCGGCCCATATCATAAGGATGCACGAAAAGGATGCAAGGACCGTGGACGCCCATTTCGAAGCTTGTCGAGCGGGGCACAGCAAACGAAAGTGGCCAAGGGTGGACCGAAGAGGCAAGGATGCAAGGGTACCCGTGGGAAGGCTTCCCATCCTTACTATGCGGGCTGACTGTATCTCGGAGTCTGGCACACGAACTCACGGAGAGAGCACCCGTGCTGACGCACGAACTCCCGCCCCGCCTCGCGCTGAGCCCCTTGTACCTCACGCCGTTGATCACGACCCGGTGGTCGTCCATCGTCCCAACGGTGAGAAGAATCCGGAAGTTGTAGCACCTCGGGGGGGGGCGCGCTGCGCCGCGACGCTAGCCTCGTGCCTGCAGCCAGCGTTGCTCGGCGAGGGAGAGGGACAGAGGATGACATGTATACACAACTATATACATACATACATACATACATACAAACATACATACATACATGCATACATACATACATGCATACGCACATACATACATACATACATACGTACATACATTCGTACATACATACACGCATACAGTCATTCATTCAGTAATTCATTCATACATACATACACACATACATTCATACGTGCATACATACATCCACACATACATGTGCACGTACATACATACATACATACATACATACATGCATACATACATACATACATCTACATACATACATATGTACATGCATACATACAGACGTATATACATACATTCATTCATACATACCTACATCCATACATACATACATGCATGCATACATACATACGTGTACATATACAATATACACATACGTAGCCCCCTGCAGTCGCGAATAAGAGTGAAGGGGCGGCGGGCGACCTCTGCAGTTTGCGAGGCTCTCAGGCGGCCCGCCGCAGGCGCCTAATCTTTACAAAGTTTACAACGAACCCGCCACGGGCGCCGATTTTTCGTTAAAGCAATCTGGGTGGGTAGCGGGGTGGGTCGCGGGGTGGGTCGCGGGTGGGTCGCGGGCCGGGTCGCGGGTGGGTCGCGGGTATGTCGCGGTATGTCGCGGGTGTGTCGCAGGCCGGGTCGCGGGGTGGGTCGCGGGTGCCGCGGGTGTGTCGCGTGTGGGTCGCGGGCGGATCGCGGGATGGGTCGCGGGTGGGTCGCGGGTGGTGGGTCGCGGGCCGGGTCGCGGGTGGGTCGCGGGTGTGTCGCGGGTGTGTCGCGGGTGGGTCGCGGGTGGGTCGCGGGTGGGTCGCGGGAGGTCGCGGGTGGGTCGCGGGTGGGTCGCGGGTGGGTCGTGGGTGGGTCGCTGGGTGTGTCGCGGGTGGGTCGCGGGTGGTTTTCGGGCGGGTCGCGGGGTGGGTCGCAGGTGGGTCGCGGGGTGGGTCGCGGGGGGGGCGACGCCAAACAGCAACGACAACAATCATTCTAAGACTGTTCGCTCTTACTTGCCCGTGTGTCATTCAAAACGATTTCCCCCCACACCCTCGATGCCCGCCTTTTTTGACTTCGATCACACACCCTTTGGGGGGATTATTTCTCTTTGCGCGGGGCGGCGGGCTTAGACAGGCGGGCAAACCTGAACGGGCGGGCAATCCTTCGTGGGCGTACATGTGCCCGCCATTGGAATTGGTGTGGGCCCTGCAAAAAGAGGAGGGGGAGAACGAGGGAGAGCGGGGGGAAGGGAGGGGGGGGAACGAAGGAAGAGGGAAAACGACAGGAGAGAAGGAGCGAAGAGGGGGGCGGTTGATTAGAGGCAAAGAGGGACAAAGAGAAAGACATATAAGAAGGGTAGAAAGAGAGAGAGAGAGAGAGAGGGGATAGAGAGAGAGATAGAGAGGACTAAAAAGAGGGAGGGGGGAGACAGGAGAGCGGAGGGAGAAGGGGGGAGGGAGAGGAGGGAGAGGAGATAGGGCAGAGAGGCATAAGGATGAGGGAAGATATGAGGGAGAGAGAAGGGAGGAGAGGAGGAAGGAGGGAGGAGGAGCAGGAAGGTAAGTTCGAGGAAGTCCTGAGTGAAAGCGCCGTTCCTGAAGGAAGTCTTGGGCGGGAGCCCACGACGGGCGGGCGATCCCTTGACGGGCGTGTCGGGCGGGTGGGACATTCAAGCGGGATGCCTGATTATGGCGAGAGCGCGATTCCTAAGTAAATTGTGAGGGCGTCCTTGGCGCAGTGTGTTTCCTGAGCGTCGAAAGCGCGATCTCTGAATCAATTGCATGGAAGTCGCAAGCGAGAGCGCAATTCCTGAATAAAATGTGAAGGGCTCTCTGGCGGGAGCGGGGTCTTTATTAAATTACGAAAGCAATTCACTCAATTGCCAAGAAGTCTCAAGCGGGAGCGCCGTTGCTGAGTAAATTGTGCGGAGGTCTCAAATGGGAGCGGGGGGCCTGACTAAATTGCGAGAAAGTCTCAGGCGGGAGCGGGGGTCCTGAGTAAATTTGGAGGAAGTCTCAAGCGGGAGCCGCTGTTGTTGTAGTCCGGGGGGCCAGGGGCGCAGTTTGAGCACGACGACTTTCCCTGTCAAAAAAACAGGGTGCAAGCGTCGAGGGGCACACTTTGATTGAGAAAAAACAATATGCACCGGTGACGGGGGGATCAGCAATAATGGTCCAAAAATGAAAATTCAACAACAACAACAACAACAACAACAACAACAACAACAATCATTTTACCCGAACGCGTGGTGTTCTCCCCAGTGCCAGGGTTTTCATACGACACCAGGCAATACCCCCACTTCGTGGGGGGGCATTACAAGCTCTACCAAATATCCAAACGACTCTTCGCGACCACCCAAACCCAGCTTCCCGCCCTATGACGTTGGGACACTTCACTTCGTGGCGTGCGGACGACCGTGGCTACTACACTGGCGTGGGGTACACACCCACAGAACTTGGTCACTTATTCGGGGCGCGCATGTGCCCAGCATGGTGCAATTGTGCCATACAATACATAATACAGAGAGACGAATGTGTCCCGCATGGTATTATTTGACAGGGATGATGGCCCTGGCAGGTGCGCAACCGTTGTCGCAGAAGTTCGAAAAAGTTGCTCGCAAAAGCCCGTTTGACAGAAATGTTTAAAAAGTGTTGGGTTTCCTACGAATCCGCAAGAGCGCGCGGGATGAGATTTTGACATTTTTTTGTTGAAAAACCATTGGTTTTTTGATGTTTTTATGTTAAAATCGCTCCGAACACTAAGGTTTTGGAAGGATTTCGTCTTGCGCGCGCGAATGTCCACTTTACCTTATTTTTTGCAAGGGATTCTTGAAATTTGATTATATTAGAACAAGAAATGTCATTTTATAGTGTTTTTTGCAAGGGAAAACGGATTACAACAAAACAACCGGATCTTGATCACATCGAATTACCTGAGGTTCCTCACGAAAATGATGAAAATGTAGCTGCGGCCTAGGCGGCGCAGGGGGGGCGCGCACCAGGGGGCCCAACAATAATTATTCTTTAGAATTAATAATGTTCAACACAACAACAACAACAACAACAACAACAACAACAACAACAACAACAACAACAACAACCATTTTAAGGCTGTGCGCTCTTACTTGCCCGCGAGTCATTCAACACGTATACCCTACACCCTCGATACCCGCCCTCTTCGTCTTCGATCACACCCCTTTCGGGGGGATTATTTCTCTTTGCTGGGGCCGGCGGGCTTAGACGTACGGGCAAACCGGAACGGGCGGACAATCCTTCGGGGGCGTACATCTCTCTGCCCGCCATTGGAATTGGCGCGGGCCCTGCAAGAGGAGGAGGGGAAGAACGAGGGAGAGTGGGAGGAAGGGGAGGGGGAAGGACGAAGGAAGAGGGAAGATACCACGTTGTGAAGGCGTCCTTTGCGCGTGCGTGGTTCCTGAGCGCCGAAACGCAATTCCATAATAATTTGTGAGGACGTCGCACGCGAGAGCGCAGTCCTAAGTACATTGTGAGGAAATCTCAAGCGGAAGCGGGGGCCCTGACTAAATTGCGAGGAAGTCTCAGGCGGGAGCGCCGTTCCTGGGCAAATTGCACGGAAGTCTCAGGCGGGAGCGGGGGTCCTCACTAAATTGCGAGGAAGTCTCAAGCGGGAGCGCCGTTCCTGAGTCAATTGCGCGGAAATGTCAAGCAGGAGCGGGGGTCCTGAATAAAATTCGAAGAAGTCTCAGGCGGGAGCGCCGCTCCCACGTAAATTGCACGGAAGTCTCAGGCGGGAGCGGGGGTCTTGATTACATCGCGAGGAAGTCTCAAACGGGAGCGCCTTTCCTGAGTAAATTGCGCGGAAGTCTCAGGCGGGAGCGGGGGTCCTGAGTTAAAAATAAAGGAAGTCTCAGGCGGGGGCCGTTGTTGTTGTAGCCCGGGGGGCAAGGGCACAGTTTGAGCAGGAAGACTTCCCTTGAGAAAAAAACAAGGTGCGAGCCCCGGGGGTGGCACTTCAATCGAAAAAAATCAATGTGCACCGGTGGGGGGGATCAACAATATAATTATCATTCAAGAATGAGAGTTCAACAACAACAACAACGACAACGACAACGACAACGACAACAACAACGACAACAACAACAACAACAACAACAACAACAACAACGTCGCGGCGCCCGTCCCGGCCCCGGGCCGGGCGTCAGCACACCGCGGTGTGTGCCCTCTCACCCGGCCCCGGGTAAAAGGGTTCGCGCTCTCGGTGTGCCGACGACTCTCCCGGCCCCGGGCATCTCCCACTGGTGCAAGCATTCGCGCGCCTGGCGTGCCGACGATTCTCCCGGCCCCTGCAGGTCCGCACTTGCAGTGCGGCGGCGGCGCGAACTGGGAAACCCTGGGCATGCCTAGGACTCCTTAGGAATCCCTGGGAGTCCCTGGGATTCCTTAAGGATCCGTAGAATTCCTGAGGAATCCCGAGTCATCCCCAGGAATCCAATGAAATTCGTACGAATCCCTAGGAGCCCTGAGGAACCCGAAGGTGTCCAAAGGAATCCTTAGGACTCATGAGGAATCCTTGGGAATCCATGGGAACCTTTAGGAGTCAAAAAAGGAATCCGAAGGAATCCCTAGCATTCCTTCGGGATCCCTTGGACTTCTAAGGAACCCCTTGGACGTTTAAGGAATCCCGAGGACTCTTAAGGAACCCCTGGGACTCAAGAAATCCTGAGGCGTCCGTTGTTTGGGGAATCCTCTGAAACCTGGGGGATCCCAAGGGCTCCTCAGGGATTCCGAAGTATCCCTATGTATATTATAGATGTATACGTGTATGTACGCAAATTCATACATGTATACATATATACACATGTACAGGTCTGTAGGTCTGTATGCATGTGTCTGAATGTATGTACATAGATGCGTATGTATAAAACAT